AGGATGTTTACTCATCCCCTGACATTAGCATTGAGTTTAGATTTGCCAAATTAACTTAATTTATTTTTAATTGGCAGTTACACAATGAAAAGTAAGTGTAGCGAAGTAAGCCCTCACTTCCTTATGCATACTTGACACCACCTTCATAATGTAAAGCTATTACGAACTCTACTTATACCTTGATTGTAATAGCCACCTGTTTTTTTATCATGGAAGTTTGTATATGAAGCAATTTGATCGAATTGTACACCAGCGAATACAGCCAATCCGAGACCTCGACACAGAGCCATGATGTTTACAGCCTTTCTGTTAAGGGATCTGATTGTATGTATTTGCTTGATACAAGAATAGTGGCTATTGCAGTCGATGTAAAATAACACAGTTTGTCATAGCTTGACAATGTGAACATGATTGACATTAGATTTTTCATTTGAGTAAAGCTATTTCTAACCAATTTAAAATGAATAATTATAATAATCTTTGAAATAAAATTTGTCTAACACAGCTTTTTTAAAGTGATTATTATAAAACAAAGTTAATTTCTGTAACTTTCTTTGAATAAAAGTGTCATTCCTGTTGATAGTTATGAATTTCATATCTTTAAAGGTGTTAACAATGAAAATGCACTCTTGGTGTCCTGTACACAGAAGTTGACCCTGAACTTGAAAATAATAGTCATGATTTTCTGAAAGACAGTACTTTTGATTTGTCTCGCAAAATTTAAGATATGGTACAGTGTCTGTATTAATACATTTGTCTTTAGATGAATATGGACACTTCACTTCAATCACTTTATGATTATCCATCAATCCGTCCGGTGAGGAAGCTAGGAACGGATTACCTTTACAAACAAATCTTCCACATTGGTCGACTGTATCCTGTGTTTGTTTAACAAACTCGTCAATAGCAATTTTTTCAAACTTCTTTCCATGGATAAGAGGAGCAGCTTGTATGTCTTGGGAAGGTTCAGTCATGGACTTAGCAAGTTTTTCAAGGTCTGTTCTATCCGTTGCCTTACATATTTTTCCAAATTGGGAAGAGTTGATCCTGTAAAACCTTAATTGTGACCAAAGCTGATTAGATGCTTGACCACGTGTCAATTGTTCAATTAACGAAATGTTGTCCTTATTTATGTTTGATAAGCCAATATTTTGCAGCCAGATTTCAGAAAGAGGATCTTGAAGATAATGATGGTCGGCTTCGACAGCATAAGAATTAGCTGGTTTAAATGTTTGTGAAATTGGAAACTTATTTATGTTTGGGTGGCTTAGCCATATGTTTCTGAACATATCATTATAACCAGCCATTTTAATATACTTTACGTGGATCGTGGATCAAAATTAACGTCTTTATATCCTGACAGTGGCAAGTCTTTAGACTTAAGAGGACTGGCCATAAAATGTGTACTTTGATGAAAAGTTTGTAGTTGTGAGGTACAAGATAATTCTGTAATTATTTCAGCACAAGTTGAAAATTTAAAAATCGCATATAATGTTGCACAAACATGTTTACATTGTG